AAACGCGACATTAATTTCTTGACGACCTAATACTAATTAGTTTGTTCAATGTTTGAGGTTATTAATCTTGTTCAATAGTAGATGTACAAAATAAGTGTTTGTAAAATCAAAATTGAATTGTATACAATTAAAATCAGGATCCGAAACTATAAAAAAAAAGTCCTAAACTCTAGTGATCCTTTTTGGATCACGACATTAAGGATCTTCTAATCACAGGTCATCTATACTTACTTTCGTCATTCTTGTTCAGAATTTTAGATGAAGAACCTCCCGTGTAAGCACAAATAGTGCTAGCATACCGATCACTAAGAGACTGGGCTGAATGGCTGATTGGCGCAAGTAGGAGAGAGGATCGTGGAGAATCCTACAAATAAAAGTTGCTGGCTCATGATAAAAGTGAAAAAATTATTATATCATAAAGACCATACAAAATATTACCGACATAATGCTGTTGAAAGTTTGCTCGACGTAATAATTGAAAATTAACCAAAGTTAAAGATTGTTAAGAGAGTTAAGACTAATAAAAGGTAAATAACTTTTTGTTTTAATTCAATAAAATGGTGTAATATTTATAAAATATTTCCCAGTTTACATGGAACTATAATTAATGTTCATATGTTAATAAAATTAGAAACAAAATGTATTATTTGTCTTATATTGTATTACTAACTCTCTTCCAATTACCAATTTTCTGAGGTTTTGAAAAGTGCCAAAATATGATGATAACTCAGAAAACTATATATATATATAGCACGTGTTTTTAAAATATGCCATGATATAACTGTGAAGCCTATATTATAAGGATATATAGATAATTAGTAAATTTCATTCACCATGGCTTCCAGACGACAAGAATGACGCATAGTGATAGTTAATGAATTTTCCTCATTACAGATTCCAGAGGACAACGATGATGTGTGGTAAAAGTTAACGAATTTCTCTAGTTATGGATTCCAGATGACAAGAATGACGTATGATGATACTTAATAAATTTACCTGATTTTAGATCACAGATGACAAGGATGATGTATGGTTGTAGTTAATGAATTTTTCTCATTATTGATTCCAGATGACAATGATGATGTACGATGATACTTAGTGAATTTACCTGATTTTAGATCCCAGATAACAAGATGATGTTTGGCGATATTTAATGAATTTACCTGGTTAGGGACTCTAGTTGATAAAGGTTTCATAAACTCGTCTTCAATCTGACCATCACTACTCAAGTTTCGTGAAATTGCTCCAGAACGCACTGACCCAGCAGTCGCACCTTCACTGTAGCGGATCCAAGCGCAAGGGTTTTCTATCGAAGTAAACGATTGGTTTCTAGTGTCCCCTTCGCCGTGCTTTATTCGAGACGATAATCTTGGTGGATTTGGAGAGCGTTCTTTCGTTGAAGGCTGGATCCAAGACATCATGACGTTGTCTGAAGAAGGCGTTGAAACAGCACTTCGACTGCCTCTATGCTCAGGTTCACGTAGGCTTAAAGTCGATGACATGAAAGCATAATTTTTGGATATTGTTTCAAATCTGTCAGAGTGTGTTGGTGAACCAAACAAGTATTGATCATTTACAATGGTATCTGTATAGGCGGAAACATTCTCTGTTGTCTTTTCTTTACTCCCTTTACAAACTGCATCTAGTTTGTAAGAAAGAAGACCGGTTTTAGGAATATTCAAAGACTGAGTACTTGTAATACTTCCACCAAAACTACCGAACCGACTAGATTCATTTATTTGGTATCCTCCCATCACCTTATCAAAATAATTCTTCTTCCAGCTATTGGATCCTTGATCTCTGGAATTATAAATGTTTTCTCTATCTTTAGATAAAACACTCGGAGTACTTGCCGGCCTCTTACTTTGTCCTAAAGTAAGTCCAGAGACGGCTGATGACCGGGAACTTTGAAACTTTCGCATGTCTTCATAATGTTGCGACAAGCGCTCTGAAGAAACTTTATGACTGGTAATCTTGCCACTTTGATAACCAGAATAATCATGATCAATCAAATCAGGTTGTTTAGTTTCTTCAGAGCTGGCAGTCAGAATCTTTTGCTTGGACTTTTGTTCATCGCAGCTGCTGTATTTATCAAAAAGTTCATTGTAGGTATCATTCTTTCTGTTGATGGTGAGATACTTTCTTCCTCTGCTTCTATCAGCTTCAATGTCTCTGTTTCGAACCCGGTCGTGACCCAGTGTTCCTTCTGCACTCCGAGACTGTTGCGTGTAACGTTTCCAAGCGCTAGAAGACATTTGATGGAAGGCGCTGGATTCTGTCTGCATTGAGTTGTCAGTCTTCTTGACGTTAGTCGCTGTGCCACTTGAAGTGCTCCTTGCGTGAACATCATTTCTTTCCCAACGCTACTTGGCCTTTCACTGGAATCTCTAGATGACAGAACACTCTTAAATGGAGGTTCATCACGTTGTGTTTGTTTTAAATTATTGCACCCTTTCGTCTCTGAACTCACTGAAGACCCCATCTGGTAGTCGCTGAAGTCCACTAGAATGTCGTTGTTTCCACTGCTGATGGAACTGATATCTTCGAGACTGTAAATAGAAGTGCACGTTAAAATAAATCTTATGTTTTTAAAATTTTGTTTGTTGTCTTTACCTAATGACTTTTTACTCTTGAATGCATAAAAGGAAAGAAAAAAGCAATAATTATGAGATGAGATGACTTGTGCAACTAAGTTCGGGATACTCTCTCATACCCATAGAGGAAGGGAATGTTCGTTAATTTCTTACAATGTTTTCTCTGTATAACCACATAGTGGTGCCAAAAAAGTGACTACACAGGCGAAACTTTAAATGGATCTTTATTTTGTTTTTTACCAGCTCAAAATATTATTACTCTATTTCTTTGAAAACGATCCCTCATGTGCAAAAAAAAAAAAATGTGTTCAGTAGTTTCTGGCAAAAACAAAACAGCAACAACAGCAAAAAACAACAACGTGTTATGCGCAGAAAAACACACACACACACCTAAAAAAACGTGTAAGTGTTGATGCTAAACTGTTGAACTCATAAAACGAAAAAATGATTCAAAAGTTTCAAATTCGAATCAAAGATTTCTGTGACTTGAAAACAGAAGAGCAGGAACTCGAGTTTCTCGTGTACTGTAATGAAGATATCTTACTGACAGTAAAATAAACAGCAGTCAAAATGTTAATGGTACTATTTAAATCTGAGATCGTTTATGCCACCTAGGGGCACCAAATACGTAAAACTCCTTTTTATATACCGATGTTTCAATAAAGCGCAAGCAAAGTTTTGTAAGTTAGACGCTGATACAATTAGGTGTTTCTTGTTAAATAACTCTTAGTAATCTATAACTATAGGCCCGGCATGGCCAGGTGGTTAGGGCGATCGACTCGCAATCTGTGGGTCGCGAGTTCGAATCCCCGTCACACCAAATATGCTCGCCCTTTCAGCCGTGGGGGTGCTATAATGTGACGGTCAATCCCACTATTCGTTGGTGAAAGAATAGTCCAAGAGTTGGTGGTGGGTGGTGATGACTAGCTGCCTTCCCTCTAGTCTTACACTGCTAAATTAGGGACGGCTAGCGCAGATAGACCTCGTGTAGCTTTGCGCGAAATTAAAAAAAAACAAACTATAACTATATTACATGTAATCGATTTTAATATAATACCTGGCAGGAGAACTGGAAAACATTATGTTCTTCTTTATATTCGATCTCTTCATAATAAACTGGCAGGCATAATAATATTCAGAGCTTTAATATAGGATGAACATCGTTGCTATGGTTATGAAAGGTATAACTATATATACGCCAATATTAGAGCTTTTACTGAACAATACTGATGTTCTAAATCTCGAATTCTTTGACGGGATGATTAATTTGATAATTTACATGGAGATACTGCGTCAAATCGCACAGAGAAAGTTATTCATTTTCAATATTACAGCCTTTGTTTCAAGTATAATTCAATTAACTGAAAACAATACAAGCGAGACTAATAAACGAGGTTTAGAAAATGTGAAAAAAGGCTTGGTTATTGGGAATACTGTTGATAAGGGACTACTTGTAGGAGTGGCCGAGATTATACGGTTTACTTGTGGTATCTAATACGTTTGGAAAGGTATTGATTGCAGTAGAAGTAGGTTGATTATTAATACCGTTGATGATGTAGGTAGGATTAGGTCATGACTTTCATGCCTCTGATAAGGTATCACTCTTGTTGAAAGTGGGTCGTGACTTTGAATGCCTCTGATAAGGTATTACTTGTGGTGAGAGTGGGTTAATGCCTCTGATAAGGTATTGTTTTTGGTGGAAATAGGTTGTGATTTTTAATGCCTTTGTTGAGATATCTTAATGCTTACCTTTCTTAACCACTGTTTGAAGTTATTTTCTAGGTTATTATTCCTAATGTTTACCTTCCTTAATGTATTGTTTGAAGTTATCAACTAGTCATATCATTATTCTAGGTTATTATTCCTAATGCTTACCTTCCTTAATGTATTGTTTGAAGTTATCAACTAGTCATATCATTATTCTAGGTTATTATTCTAATGCTTACCTTTCTTAACCACTGTTTGAAGTTATCGACTAGTCATATCATTATTCTAGGTTATTATTCTTAATGCTTACCTTTCTTAACCACTGTTTTTAGTTATTTACTAGTCATATTATTATTCTAGGTTATTATTCCTAATGCTTATCTTCCTTAATGCATTGTTTAAAGTTATCGACTAGTCATACCATTATTCTAGGTTATTATTCCTAATGCTTATCTTCCTTAATGCATTGTTTGAAGTTATCGACTAGTCATATCATTATTCTAGGTTATTAGTCCTAATGCTTACCTTCCGTAATGCATTGTTTGAAGTTATCGACTAGTCATATCATTATTCTAGGTTATTATTCCTAATGCTTATCTTCCTTAATGCATTGTTTGAAGTTATCGACTAGTCATATCATTATTCTAGGTTATTATTCTTAATGGTTACCTTTCTTAATGCATTGTTTGAAGTTATTTACTAGTCATACCATTACTCTAGGTTATTATGATAAGCTATTATTTGTGATGGGAATGGGTCATAATTTTAATACAGTTGATCAAGAATTACTTGTGGCAAGATTGACTTGTGACTTTTAATTCATCTGATAAGTATTATTTGAAGCGGTAGTGGATTCTGACTTTTAATGCCACTGATAAGGTATTACTTGTGGTGAGAGTGGGTTGTGACATTTAATGCCTCTGAGAAGGTATTACTTGCGGTGAGCGTGGGTTGTGACTTTTAATTCCTGTGATAAGTATTACTTTTGGTAAGAGTGGGTTGTGACTTTTAATGCCTCTGATAAAATATTACTAAAAGTGGGAGTGATTTAATTGTTAATGCCGCTAATAAGGCATTACTAGTGGTGTGAGTGGATTGTGACTTTTAATTCCTCTGAATAATATTACTTGGGGGAAAGTGGGTTGTGACTTTTAATGTCGCTGATAAGGCATTACTTGTGGTAAGAATGGGTTGTGGATTTTAATGCCTCTGATAAGTATTACATTGGTGTGAGTGGGTTGTAACTTTGAATTTCTGTGATAAGTATGGCTGTGGTGAGAGTGGGTTGTGTCTTTTAATGCCTCTGAGAAGGTATTACTTGTGGTAATATTGGGTAGTGACTTTTCATTCTAGTGATATGTATTACTTGTGGCGAGAGTGGATTGTGACTTTTAATGCCTCTGAGAAGGTATTACTTGTGGTAATATTGGGTAGTGACTTTTCATTATACTGATATGTATTACTTGTGGCGAGAGTGGGTTGTGACTTTTAATGCCGCTAATAATACAAAGACTGATGTGACTTCGAGGCTGTTATTAATGTATTCTTCGTTAAAATATCAGAATTAATAGGAAATACAAAATGAGTACTTATATATGATATGAACATGTCTGTATAGATACATACAGAAAACATAGAAACGATATAAGCATGTCTCTATCATTACATATACGTAAAACAGGTGCAAGATTAAAAAGAAATGAGCCGAGTTGGCGTGGGTTTGAGGAAGGAATATAAAAAACAGGAGTTCAACGAAAGAAAGAAAAACAAACGGGAGATATAAGAGAGAAAGGATAAACCGAAAGAGGCGGATAAAGAGGGTACTATGTTGCTATTAAGAAAAAAATCTATTTCTAAATCGATATGTTATTGATTATCATCAATAAAGACCAGTTTGTTATGTTATATTGGTGTGATTCAAATTCTTATAGGAATAAGTACGACGTAAATAAAGTTGATAAAGATAAGACGAGAAATCGAAGAGCAAGTAAAGCACGATCGTAACAAAGTGGTGTCAGAAGTGGGATTCATCAATTCGTTAGGAATCGAAACCCGACAACAAAAGAAGAATTTGAAATTGAAACCACATTATCCAAAGATGAAGAGGTAAGTCAACTGGATGAAGTAGTGAAATCGGGAAAGAGAGTAAGCTTTGCCTGTTTTGTCTTTTATGGTGGTTCAGTTAGTTCTCACTGGTTATAAATTGCATGGCTCATTGTTTAAGAGTAGAGAATTAACATTAGCATGGATGGGAATAGGAAATCTCTGATAAAAAGTTAGTTGGTAAAGAGATGTAGAGATTTTGGTATGACATGTAGTAGCAATTGAAAAAAAAAAAGAGATACGTGAAGCTTTATCTGAGGCGGAAGTGACAATACATTATTTTTCTAACCTTGAACGAGTGGTGTTCGCGAGTTATCATGGTAACAGGTTTAGCACTTGTTAATATACAGTTGGAAAAGAAACGCTTGCATACTGAGATCAAACGCCTGGAAGTAGAAGCTGAGAAAAAGGTTTAGAGCTAGAGTTAGAAGATATGCATAAGCAGAGAAAATTTGAGTTAATGATGAGTGGAAAGCAGGATAATTCTGGTGATAAGACTGAAATGCATGAAAGAAGCATCCATGTGTAGTTGCCTAAATTTTGCGAAAGCGATGTAGACGTATTTTTGTGTTTTTTTAAAAATTAGCGAGAGCACAGGAATGTCAACCACAGGATATGGTGAGAAAACTACTTACTGCGTTACTTAAAAAAGCTTTAGCAACATATAATAAGACTGGGAGCGCAGATTAATTAAAGTATGATGTAGTGAAATAAGCTATTTTAGAGACGTATAAGTTAAGTACGTGTCCCTATAGCGCAGCGGATAGCGCATTGGATTTCTAATCCAAAGGTACCGGGTTCGTTCCCCGGCAGGGATGCCACCAACATTGCCTGGTCCCAAGTCCAGGATGAGAAAGGGCGAGGGTTGGGGGCAGGGCTAGCAACTCCGCACCGTAAAAAACCAACCTGTTAAAAAAAATTACTGCAACAACTTCCGTCGGCGAGGTGTTGTTGGGGCCTTATTATCATTATATGAGTTGAGTCCGGAGACTTATTACAGGAAACTCAGCAAGTTAGAAAAAAGGGCAAAAGAGTTTGGAAGAAGGCTGCATGCGTTGCTAGTTCAATGGATCAAAGGATCTAACTAATTCTTTCTTAGCCGCGTCTAGGTTTTGATCGTCGCGACTCCTATTATCTCTACAAGG